CTTGCGCTTCGTGCTGCCGGTTGGACTTGCGCCTGGCGCGAATCTGGCTGGTCGCTTGGATACGCGTCCGGATTTGCGTCGCGCGGCCGAAGATGCGACTTGATCAGTCCCCGAGGGTGATTCGGTCGCGCTCATGTTTTTTTGCGCGCGATTGGCTCGTTGATGATTGTCGAGGTGGTGGTGGAAGTGCGCGGCGCGATCGGTACAGTTGAGGCGGGGACGGTGATGGGAGACGCGTTGTATGTCCGAGCACTTTTAGTGCAAGGTTGCGCGCACGTGCGTCTGACACTACGCCATCGACGTGTCGCCTTGACGCTCCGTCTCATCTGTGTGCACTTGTTGCCGCCCCTTTGTCAGTCAAATGTGAGATTCCCAGATGCATGTGCTTCACTTGGCAGGGAAACGCTCTCGGTACGGGCAACCATCTGTTGCCTTGTCGGACGAGGTCGATTGGTCTATTATATACAGTGCTCATAGGGACAATGTCAGTCTAGAATATTAACAACCGTTCAGGCAGCAGCCTTGACCGGCTCGCCCTCTTTGATGTCCAGCTTTTCAACACCCTCAACAAGCTCTGTTCCCCCGTTAGACGCGGTAGTGGTATTCTCGGCTGCTGCGGGCACTGCAGCCTCGCCCGCAGTCTTCTCTGCCGTCGCACTTCCAACACTAGGCTCGTCTCCTCCCCACAGGTAGATCTCGCTCTCTCCTATGATCTTGCCAGCCTTCTCCCATCGCTCTTTCCTCTGTTGTCTCCGCTCCGTGGAGATCTTCTCAAGCGCAGGCCAGTAGACGGAATGGTCGTACTTGAAGTCGACTTCACCGCCAGAGACTTTCATGAGCTGTGATGTGGGCACGTGGTTGGGTAGGGGCTCGTTCGACTTGATCTTGGACTTGGTGACGGGGTCGATAAAGGGGTTGATGAGCTTGAGGAAGGCATTGACATACCATGGGACTATTCGTGATGTCAGTAGTGCATACGTGGGGCATTGAAGTGGTCCTTACGATGTGTGAGCAATGCCCTACCAAGTCGCTCGGGGTAGTGGTTCTGCAAGATGTCAAGGACCTGTTTGGCGATGCCCATGCTAGGGGTGCCACCAGCTCCCGTGTTCCTGAAGTCGATCAACAGTGCCAGACTCTCCTGGCCAGGCGGGTGCAAGTCTATGGTGCGCTCCAGCATGTAGACCAAGTGCTCTACCCGCTTGGGTGTCTCCTTGGTGTTCTGGTTCTGCGGCAGCAGGTACAGACACGGCCTTCCCTCGTTGTCGAAACCAAGCAAGACCTGCTTGCCGGTTTCGTTCTCCTCTGAGATGTACTCGGCAGTGAAGCGGTCGGTGCCGTACTCACGACGCCATACCAGCGTCGAGCGCAGGCGCTGTATCGCTTGGGGAAGGTTCCACTTGGTGGCACGCAGGTATCGGAGGAGGCATTCGCGAGTGAGCCACATGCGCTCATCGTCGCTGATTGGTGCGGTCTCGGCAGTCTTTGCAGAGGTGGTGGGCAGCGTTTCCCATGTGCGGACATCGGCGAGAAGCTCGTCGTATTTGGTTTGCTGCTCGGCGGTCAAGGCAGGGGCAGCGGCGGGCTTGCAGCCGGGTGCAGGCTCCGCAAAGGGGCCAATTGCAGACATTATGTTCAGTGTGTAGATGATCAGCCCAAGTTGGTCTCGTCTACCGTTCTTGTTCAAGTATCTTGGGTGAAGTCCTTGTTGCCGTGTTGGCGTTGGTGTCAGCCTTGGGCAACTTTTTGGGAAGCATGGCGGTCCCTGCATGCACGTCGATCGCCCTAGGCCGCCTCCATGCTAGCCCCACCGACACGCGCGACGCGTCTTCGGAGTTCGCACGCGCAAAGTGCTCTCCCGGCCATCACCCACAATACTCACAGTCACACACAATATGGACGACCTTACGACCGAACTCACCGAGCGCTTCGAGCGCTACTGCGACACCAAGGATGACCAATTCCCCGCCGATGTCCTCGCTGAACTGCAGTCCATGTCACGGCTCTATTCCATCTCGCCCGAGGAGCTGGATTTCAAATGGCAGGCATACAACATGAAGATGGGCGGAGAAGAGAGCAAGATGGACGTCAAGACGGCACGAGACTTCAAAAAGACAATACAAGATGCATTGGAGCGCGAGAGCAGAGGGAAGGCCCAGCAGAGAAACGAAGTCAAGCGGGGCCAGCCAACACCACGAGCAAAGGGTGGGGACATGTATGATATGTAAGTTTAAACGTAGAAAGACATCTAGGGAATTGTCATTGACTGGACGCAGACTAGAAGGACTCGTGCCGGGTACCCCACGTCAAAGCACAACGAACGGCGTCAATGGCAGTACAGTAAAGCGCAAAGCCAACTTCCAGACACCGGGAGGCAAGGCCACCAAGGCTCACGAGATGAGTTCGCCCGGAGGATTTATGACACCGAAGGCTGAAGCCCCAGGTGGTCCGTATGTATACTGGGTGCACACCGCAGACATGCTCTAACGCCCACTCAGTGTCTTTGACTTCGCTTCCCGTACGAACGCAAACGACATCACCGAACAATTCATGCAAAGCGAAATTGCCATCCCGGAGCCGCCGTCAGAAGAACCGAAAGAACCTCGCATTAAACTCAAGGCGAATACGGACATGTCCAAGTTCTCATACCGCACCATGGCCATGAAGCTCTCTGAAGCGTCTGAAGTCTTGGATGATAGGATTGACGAGTTCCGTGACCTACTCAGGGACACAACGGGTCTGGACGAAAGCGCCTTCGGCAACCCCAATTACCCGTCACCGAGCGAGATCATTGCAGTCGGAAGAATTGCAAGCGACACAAGCGAAGGCAAACTCAACACGGCATCACTTGTCCTTGAAGGCTCGCGAAGACATGGCTCAGGCCGACGTGTACCGCTGAACGTAGAAGGGCTATCGTCGTATGACTTCTTTCCCGGCCAGATTGTTGCTCTGCGTGGTACCAACGCTTCGGGTGACTCATTCGTAGTGTCGGAAGTCCTATCACTTCCACTGCTGAATCCACCTGCTACAAGACCCGAAGAATTGGATGCCATCAACGCGAGATATGTCGACACGCCCGATTCCGATCCCGAGAATGTACGACCTCTCACCATCATGATTGCGTCCGGACCTTACACGACCGACCAGAATCTCGACTTTGCCCCATTACTCACCTTCCTTGACAATGCTGCTGAAGCATACGCGGACTCTATCATCCTAGTGGGCCCGTTCCTCGACGCAGAACATCCTCAAATTCGGTCAGGAGACTTTGATGCTCCGCCAAATGTAAGCCCAGACCAGGCTACCATGACTGATCTGTTCAGACACCACGTCTCGAGCGCCATCCAAAGCTTCAACAAACGCGTACCAACATGTAATGTTCTTCTGGTCCCCAGCTTACGAGATGCGCATCACCACCATGCTGCGTTTCCGCAGGATAAGTTCATCAAAAAAGAGCTTAGCCTGGGCGCTGCAGGAAAGATGGTTCAATGTGTGACCAACCCGATGACTGTCAGCATGAATGAAATGACAGTGGGCATGTCGTCAATCGATGTCTTGGATATGCTACGTAGGGAAGAGCTGGCAGGCGGCAAGGCACGAAGTACGAATATCTATGAACGGTGCGCTCGAAACGTCCTTGAGCAGCGGAGTTTCTTGCCCATTTTCCCGCCAACTGGAAGAGAAAAGCAGCAATTCATGCCCGCGCCAGTTGAGGAGAAGGTCATGAAGAATGAGGCACGGAACAGTGAGCGGAAGGAGGGTGAAGAGCTGGAGGAGGAACAGTTACCCAGCCCATTTCTTCCGTTGGGCACCATGCTCGACACGAGCTATCTCAAATTGGGCGAAATGCTGAATGTACGGCCTGACATACTCATAACTCCCAGCGTGCTTCAAGGCACAGTCAAGGTATGCTAAGATGGCTCGCCCACTAGAGAACGATATACTAACCCTGACCAGGTCGTGGAGTCTGTACTGGTCGTCAACCCTGGCACTTTAGCCAAACGGCGCGCGGCAGGGACATATGCCCGCGTCATAATACAACCAGCTGTCGTCAGTGACGCAGAAAGGGAGAAAGGGGTTGCAGTCGCGCACAAGCTCTGGGAACGGACGCGTGTTGACATTGTGAAGATATAGGCGTTGGATGTTTGTCATAGGTATACCCTGGAATTGAGCATCAGAGATGTGTCTGGCGTTCCCCCGTGGTAATGGGCATGAAACCATTACTATCAGGTGCAGCTCAGCGTGTGGTGTTCGTGATGATCATGTAGGAGGCAGTCGCAAACACTGGCTGTATACTAAGAGATAATTAAAGAAGGGACTAAGCTGGTGCGCTGCAGTCGGTCTACTTTAGTATGAACCTCAACAGGAACAAGTTTTAAGGCGATGTAGGCTTCTACTATATTGTCTTCTACTATCCTCTAGTGCGTGATCAGCATTTTCCTTGGACACATCGCACAATTGGTACCGGATCTGATCGCGGAAGTTGGGATGGTAGGTGCATAGTTACCGTTGAGAAGTGCATGTTTGCCCTAGGCAGACGGCGAACACATGATGCCGCGTCACTTTTGCGACGCGACTAGTAGGTCGACAAACCGATGTTGCTCCATGTCACTTCGTCGCGCCTCCTTTGCGCATGCACTCCTGAACTTGGTTGGACCCGCACCTTAACCAAAGGTCACCATAGATTTTCTGCATTGCACATTCACTGCAAGCATTTTGCCCGCGCCTGTATTAGGAAGGCACTAGCTACCCGCGCACGTCAGCAATATTTACCAGTGAGAGCAAGCGGACTGGTGATGGTCTTTTGCGACCTGCTCCGTCGGTTTCTTTGCTGTAGCAGCAAGCGCACAGGTATTAAGGAGACGCACGAGCTTCCTTGTCGACCAGAGCAAAGTTCGCCTGTGCCCAGCATCCCAAGTCACAGTCCTCAACACCACGCTGAATCGCCTCAACGTCCACGCGACTCCCTCGACGGCACCCAAGAAGACGACTCCGCATCCTCTATGCCGCCCAAGCGCAAAAACACAGAGAACGCCGCCGCTATGGACCGTCCAGAAAAGAAGACCAAGGCTCCCAAGAAAGGAGCAAAGGCAGCCCCCGAAGGTAAGTCGACGGTTTCCTCCTCCCATTCATGATTATCCGTCATTGGTTTGGCGGCGATGCATGTCAAGCTTGGAAGATGCAAGGCTAGCTTGTCGCCGCGGCCTTAATTCCGGGGCTTGGGTGCACGAGCAAGGGTTGAGTCGACTCGGCGGGGTCGGCCCTACAATTGCTGCCTCGTCGGTGCGTCACAGCTCGCCCAAGTATCGCCAACTCTGTCGATTGTCCACCACGGTTCGGCGACCAAGACGCGCACCCAATCTGTGAATTCACTTTGCGCGATTCTTTGTCTCTCAACACTGCACCCATTCCCTATCACCAAATTCTGCGCACCGACTTGCGCCCTCCACCCTTCCAACCCGCCGCTTCCTCACATCGAGCTCGCAATCAATAGCTGGAGTTCGATACAAGGCGCTAATACAATATGCCTACAGTATACACTGCTCAGCAGAAAGCTGCAATCCAGCAGTTCATCAGCTTTACTCAACTTGACAAGTCCACCGCGGTCAGGGCACTCAAAAGCCATGGCTGGGATGCACAGAACGCCGTGAACGCGTAAGTACAGCTTTTCCTTTGTTTTTCATATATACAGTACACATTTGTTGCATGCTTGTTATATCTATGGGCGCATCGCGCCATCCAGACGAATCGACGTCTCGACCGACCGACCCACCAACCAACCGACCAGCACCTAGACACAGGACGAAGCGGATACACATCTGGGAAGGGGCAACGCAATACCTCTTGGGACTGTGGTAGTACCATGTCACAGACAAAGAAGCAGGAGGGCTCGGGTCGCGCAAGAAGCTGCAAGTCATGGTGACAGATCGAGTTCAAAGCAGCTGCGGTCTGCGGGCACATGCAGCTGTGACTTCCAAGAACACAACGCCATTGTAAAGCTCCTGCTCCTGCAGTCCAAAACGGTCTTACTTCGTCTCCTCCGAAACGCTGGCACAATAGCACGCTTTCTCCTGCGGCATTTCCTCACCCACAACAAAGCCCTTGACAAGCCTCCTCGGTGCAGTCGTCCAAACACACGCCACATCCACTCGCCAGGTCAGCTCAGTCGTGCGCTACCTCCACAGCCGTCATGTTCGGTTCCTCACAGGACAGGGCTAGGCAGCTAGCCGGGCGTAACAGACGAGAACGCATCAGTTCCATCAGCTCATGCTCTAGCTCTCGGTCTATGAGCCTTTCAAGTCGAACTTCTCATCTGAGGGACGTCCAACCCGCCCAAGTACACGCAGTCAGCACAATCAACACCGCCGACGACGAACGCCTCTCTTCTGGCAAGACCGCTGCTTCCTCCGATTCCACCAAGTCCAGTATCGAGACCTACACAGTTCAGGGAGCTTTCCGACCGCATGCCGTACCACACCTGGTTGAGGGTTTGGACTGTTTACAGACGGAGCAACATCGAGTCCAAGCGGAACACCTAAGCCGCGTGCTACATAGCAGTCTCAGTCTTACCAACGTTACCAACGCACCAGAAAGTCAGTTCGCGCTAGCCCGTCATATCCGATACGGCAGTCTGGGAACAGACTCGGTCATTATACAACATCCGCGCAGTATCACAACTCCCCTTCCAAGTACATGCTTGCCGGAAACTATACTCGAGGAGCTGCTGGCGCTCTTGCACACTACCACAGTGCCTTCACTTCGCACCTCCGTCTCTGATCATCACCTAGGTTCAGAGCCGACTGTGTCGTTGCGCGGTGGTTCTGGCAACTACATCGGCTCTGGGGGCTACGGCAACGACTACAGCGAGCATGACATCTCAGGAAGACGCAGTCCCCAAGCTTCAGACACCCCAGGACAAGCTGCGCTCTGGGCTCTCGGGAGCCATTACTTGAAATGTATGGCTCCCATGGACTATGCTTCCTATGTGGACTCCTGCAAACAAGAGACTATTTGGTTCGAGTCCATCGGGATCACCCAAATATGGCCGACAATCGCACAGGCCATTGAGCATTTGCCCATAACCGTAGGCGTAAACTACAACACGTTTATCCAATCACTATCACTTGCGAATCGGAGTGTGTTCGCCAAGCTCTTCAGCCTCCTCCCGTTGATCAACCACAAAACGATCCCAGCTCCCGCTTTCGAAAAATGGAAGTTGGCGCGTCTGGCCTTCTTCCATGGTCTGGGACGTGATGGCAGGACCAAATTCTGCCGCATCATCATCGAAAGAATAAAATTGGTGGCAGGGGCTGATGAAGTGCCCGTGCTGAGCGATGCCACGTCGTCACCTATCGACACAGTGCATCTGTTCGTTACTGCGAAACTGTTTGTGCAGCTCAATCCTCCCATATCACTGAAGAATTATCAGTATCACGTGTACCTTTACGATATGCCTGGACTACAAGTCACTCACGACGAGCTTTTCGTTGCAACGGCCAACTGGCAACTCATCAAATACATTGACAAAGACTGACAAGTCACGCAGTTACTACAGCAGCAGCAACAGCGGCGGTTCCCAAGGCTCATCTGCGATGAAGACCAATCTCAACAAGCTGTTCGATCGGTACCAAGAGGCTGGTGCACCAGACAAAGACATCGTCGGAGTAGAAGGCACGATGCAGTATTTCGATCATACTGGCGTCAATGCCGAGGGCCTAGATGCGTTGGCGGCTCTTGAAATCGTCCAGGCCCCTACCATGGGCGAGATGAGCCGCGATGGCTTCGTCAAGGGTTGGTTGGAGCGCCAGTAAGTGCCACTATTTTTCAGGTTGTCTTCGAGGTCGTTTAGAACCTAATGCAAATGCAGCTGTGATACCATCGACAAGCAGAAGTCGTATCTCAGGATTCTTAAGAGCGAGCTCTCGGGCAACAAAGACGTCTTCACCCGGGTGTACAAGTACACATTCACCATCGCCAAGACTGCGGACCAGAGGGCTGTTCCACTCGAGATGGCCACCGTGTACTGGGAGTTGCTCTTCAGTTCGCCCTTGTCTGCTGTTCAGTGGTCAAGTCCCAACACTCCGTGGCTTACTTGGTGGACTGAGTTCCTCAATACGTCGTGGAAGAAGAGCGTCAACAAGGACATGTGGAACGAGACACTCAAGTTCGCGCAGCTCTCGCTGGAAGATGAGACCATGGGCTTCTGGAACGAGGAGTCTTCATGGCCGTCTGTCATTGACGACTTTGTCGAGTTCGTCAAGAAGGAGAAGCGGGGTGACACGGGAGAGCAGCCGATGGACGAAGACTACTATTGATCTGGGTCAAGACGGTCTATGAAACTAGCGGGGAGTTATGGTAGAGGACATGCTTTGCTGCTATAGCAGCTGCCGGCGTTTTGCTCATCAGAAGGCGGGTTTACTTGATGCATGTTACGAGATTCACGGGAGCATTCCATACCATGGCCAGATTTACAGCACTTTGAGCATCTTCTAGTAAATAGACTAGCTCAGCATGATACATCACCGTGCACCATCTATTTTGTTTCGTTTGTGCTGGGTGATTACACAGTGGAGCAAGTGACCGTCGACAGCAGCGCAAAGCAGGCGAAGAAACAAGATGCCGCTGTTATGAGACGCGCGCAGGTCGTTGAGTCGGGTCCAAAGATGTTTGCATTGCTGCCGACATGACCATTGTTTGTCGCGTCCGTTGTTGTTCGGCGAGGAAGGTTGGTGGTGGTCGCTGCGCTCTTGGTGTGGCTAGGGCCAGCGTAAGCGAGGTGCCACTAGCGTGTCCACTGAGCTGCGGCGCCTTCGCAAAATCCATCAACGCCAACTTTTGACGACACCACATCGACAACTAACCACACAGCAGTCAAAGTGCGTATACCGAGGCGGACTGCTGTTACTGTACTGACGATATTCCAGATGGTCGCCGCTAAGAAGCATGTCCCGATCGTCAAGAAGCGTACGCCGAATCTGCCTCCATGACCTCGAAAACTCGCGACTGACGTATCCGTTTACAGACCGCAAGCGCTTCAACCGCCACCAGTCGGACCGCTTTATGTGTAAGAGACACCGGATCTGGGAGTGAAGGAATTGGCATCTGACACTGGACAGGCGTCGACCCCTCATGGCGCAAGCCTAAGGGTATCGACAACCGCGTCCGCAGGCGGTTCAAGGGCCAGGCTGCTATGCCCAAGGTACGGACTACCAACTACCCGGACGGAGGAAGAATCTTGTCACCGAGGGGACACTGAGCGGACACGGAATGCTTGATGGACCAGGGCTGACGGAACGCCTCACAGATCGGATACGGCTCCAACAGGAAGACCCGCCACATGATGCCCAGCGGCCACAAGGCTTTCGTCGTCAACAACGGTATGCTACCCATCGAGTTCGACCCCACCCCAGGATCCCGCTAACGGATGCAGTCTCCGATGTTGACCTCCTCCTCATGCACAACCAGACCTTCGCCGCAGAGTACGTTCGCCAGCTTCCGTTCCACCATCCTACATACTAATGAATCCTTCAGGATCGCCCACGCTGTATCAGCACGAAAGCGCATCGAAATCATCGCCAGGGCGAAGCAGATCGGTGTCAAGGTTACCAACGGCAAGGCCCGCGTCAAGACCGAGTCGTAGATGGGTGCGGATTTTCACTTTGGGGCGGGGCATACAAGGCGTCTCTCTGATTAGTTATGATCTCAATGGGAAGGCTTTTCATCCTCTTCGGCTCACGGTACCCTTCGATACGGTATGGGGAGAGGCATGCACTTCAAAAAGCATTGCGACATGTTACTGCGGAATGACCAAAGATATCAAGGGACAGGAGCAGTAGGAATGCAATGAAAAAACGAGCCAAATCAAGATCTCCTACATGACGTATGATGTGATGCTTTTTGATCTTAGACTCACTGCAGAGCCGCTTTGATGTCGCAACCCCAACTGCCGGCCGCGCAGAACAAACGTGTGTGTTGCGGTATCGTCCGTAGAGTGCCTTGGGTGCTGCATGTACTCTGCGCCAAGCATCGAATGCGCATCAATCAGGCTGATCTTCTTCACATGCCACAGATCAGGTCATGGCTATTGAGATCACGACTAAAGCTTGCGGTAAAATATGCCGCGCCGGTTGTTGCTCAGTCTTGCGAGCTGTACTTCTTTCAGCTAATGGTACTGCATCCACGGTGTTGGAGTGGGTTGCAATATTCAGCTCGACTTTTATCGCAGAAGCCTTTGACCAGCGACCAGCAGACCTCTATGTCGATTTCGCTTTCATGTCATCGACAAGCAACATCGAACCTGCATGCTAGCACTATGCAGATGCCTGTTGGATGAAGTACTACCGGTTATTTTGGTCAATTGCTTGAGCTGCCTAAGCATCAACATGGCTGACGGGCATGTTTCCGGATGCGCACACCAACTCAGCGCGTCGCCTGCTCGGAAGATGCGCAGCCGTAAGCCTTGTCCACTCCTCAACCTACTCACCGCCATCAGATTGATGAGTGAACTCGACACACATTGATAAGGAGTCTGACAGTAAAGCCGTATGACCAGCCGTACGAGTCACAAAGGGGCAGCGCAAGAGCCATGGTTGCTTCTTGGCGCCGTCGCACGTACGCTGGGTGCAGCCGCGTAGAAGCAAGTGAGGCGCCGCGTGGGCTCAAAGGAAGGCCGGTATTTGTCGCGTGGCAGAGGGCGTTGTAGGCAGGGTTTTGGCTGTCTATTTGCTTGTCTGGCATGGGTGTGGAGATGGAATGTTTCACGAAGTTGGAGAATCGGAGCGAATGTTGCAAGTACGGGGAAGGCGATCTGAGGAAGGTTGAATTGCGCAGGCTGGCGCTTACTCTGCTTTGACGCACGCATCAGATTGTCGAAACATGCAAGCTGCTTAGAAGAGAGCTCTTTGTTGCTTCAGGCGACCCGGGGCTCCGAGTCCGTTGTTTTGTCATGGTTCCTGGTGCTGGTGCTGGTTCCGTCGACGGCGGACATGTTGAGCGCCTCGCTACCGGCTGCGCTTACGGAAGTTCCGCGCACGATCTAGCAACGCCTGTCGGTCCACTCAGTCCCTTTCGCATCCGCACACCTCAACCCAGCATCACACCGCTCTGAAGCTGCCCTCCGTCTGTGCCTGCCCTGGCAATTTCACACTCCCAGGCGACTGCTGGACAATCGACCTGGCTACGTCGCGTTATCTGGCATTATCTGTCCACGAGTGGCTGGCACCCCAGGTGATTGGCCCAGGGCGGCACTCTATCAACGCATGTGGGTTGCTGCGAGGGAGGCACGAATGCGGAGCCTGGCATGCCACCACGACAATCAGCGGATCCGTGGGCGCGCGACAGGAAAGAACCGGGAACGTGTACCGCTGAGAAGAGCTGATTGAGGCAGTGTGTCATGACGAATTTCTGATGAGGCCCGTTTTACTGAGGGTCCGATACGCTCGGGGGCGGCGTGCGAGGACTCGGTGCTCACGTTGGCATTGGCCTTAGATGTCTGACTATTGCTCCCCGGTACATGGTCCACACTTGTACCCACGGTAGGTCGAAGCGCATCCCAATTTCCTTCCGTCAGCCTGGGAAAGATTTTCAGACCCAGCACTAAATTAGCTCCCGTCTTTTAAATATTTCGACACCCCAGCGTCTTTGTTTCGAGATTCCTCCTTTCACGCGCACTCAGTGAACCACGCTCGTCGAAGGCTTGCCTCGCTCCTCATAGCGACACAGTCGTGCACCTGCACGCAGTGACCGGCGGTCTTCGGCTAGTCACTTTCACAACACACTCCTGAAGTACCGGATTTCCATACCTCGTCTACCAACTCGCCTCTGTTCAAGCGGAACCTCGCAGCATCCAACGTTGCCACTGACGATCACGACCACGTGCTTTACCCGACGGCAGACTCTGCTTCAAGAACTTTCCGGAGTACTTGCCACCCCCGGAATCTCAGACCCACCACCACTGCCGACTGTCCCCGGAGGACATCACCGACAGTGACCAAAGGAGTTTTATCAAACGTCGTTCGAAAACCATCGACATGGCGCCCAACCTCTTCATAGCCACTCAAAAGGCCTTTGCGCCCCACAAGTGGTTCAAGTCGAACAAGGCAGAGCAGTCATCCAAGGTCGTTGAAGAGTGGACCAGCCCAGTACCCGGCCAGTACGAGAGTATCCCCGGACGAGGCTGGTTCCTGATCGCAACTCTCAAGGACGATTCCAAGCCAGAAGGCCACCCCAGTTCATACATCAAGTCATCAACCGGCAGAGTGTACATCCCCCTGGACCGTCCCGTTCCTCTGAAATACTCCCATGCTATCGGTCGTTATTTCTTGGAACCCGAGTTCAACAAGCGCAAGAAGACTGTCATGATCAAGAACGATAAAGGTAAAGAAGTACAAGCAGGCTTCTTCCGGGTCGATGACGTGGCTTGGGTCAAGTGCTGGGACGAACACGACACCTTCATTCCTGGGAACGCAAATGGTGCTGCAGGCTATCAACGTTGGGTCTTCGATCAGCAAACACAGCAATTCCGTCACATGATCA